ACAATCCCACCTCCAGGAGTCATCCCTAAAATATACTCAGAATATCAAAAGACTTAACTTGCTCATTGCAGCACTATTTGTTACAGCAGAAGACTGGAAGCCGCTCTCAGGAGGGGGCTGGTGCAGTCAGCTGTGATTTATCACACAATGAGGATTATGCGGCGTGAGGGGGGGAGGGAGCGCTCCCTGTATTGCGGTGAGTGGGCTCGAGCATGCTACTTTTTTTCCTCAAAGGATATAGTGTGCTACTATTTATCTAAGAAAGGAAAGGTATGCCTGTTATATATATATATATATTTTTTTTTCTTTATTGATTTTAGAGAGAGAAAGGGAGAGAGAAAGAGATAGAAACGTCCATGAGCGAGAACATCGACTGGCCACCACTGAGACACACTGTCTGGGCTACATTTATATTTTTTAATGAAAGGATAAACCATAAAATAAAAGAGTTATCAACCAATGGCAATATAGCCAACTTGTTTGGATCCTTGTTTGGATTCAAACAAACAGACTGAAGGGAAAAAATGAAAGGGGCAAGATGAAAAAAAAACAAAAACGAGATAAGTGGGCACGTCCTGGATATATGATGATATTAAGTTTTTAGTTCAATAACGGTGTTGTCGCGTAACTTTTTTAGCGAGCCTTTATCTTTTAGAGATACTTCTCAAAATGTTTCCAGATGAAATGATATGATGTCTGATATTTGCCTCAAAATAATTTTGAAAATGGGAGTGGGTGGCAATGTAGATGAAACAAGATTGGCCATGAATTAGTAATTGTTGAAGCTGGTGATGAATCCATGGGACTTCAATATACAATTCTATGTTTATATAAGTTTAAAAATGTCCACAATAGTTAAGGAAGCAAAAAAGAGTGAGAGAAACCCCAGCCGGCGTGGCTCCGTGGGTCAGCATTGTCCTGTGCACCGAAGGATGCCACCATTCCGGCAGGTCGGAGGGGGTGTGCAGGAGGCAGGCGACAATCGATGTCTCGCTCTCACATCGATGTTTCTCTCTCTCTGTGCCTTCCTCTCTCTGAAAATCAATTTAAAAAATCTTTTTAAAAAAGAGTCAGAGAAGAAAGGACAGAAGGGAGGGAAAGGAAAGAGAAAGAAACCCTTCCCATGCAGTTTGTCACAGTCTGTAGACACAGTTACCATGTATCGATGGCAGGTAGCTGACCCACATTTTCTAAACAGAAATAAATTCCCAGGCCACCAAAGGGGATTTACGATTCTGGGGTTCTTGGACATAGTGTGTCATCTGAACATTTGCATAATCAAAGAAGAGTGTCCTCAGTAGACCTTGGTGGCCTCTTGACAAGCCCTCTCCCTCCCTAACATTGTGACACAGTAAGGAAGCTTGGTTGGGCCACTGTGTTCTTCAGACATTAACCTCACAGATGGTGCGGTGACAACTCAGGGATTGGAGCAGGGCCGTTCCACATAACTCCAGAGACTTATTTGAATGCAAGAAAAGAGGAGAGTTTCCAAGTCTCCAAAATAAAATGAGCCTTGAGAAGAGAAGCAAGAATGTGGTGTCAGAGGAGGAAGGTTTTCTTCATAAACACAAGGCAAGGGTATAAAACCACCTGTCGCCTGCCAAGAGTCTCTGGGTGTGGAAGACGCAGCAAAGAGGGCGGGGGTGAGGCTCGGAGGTACGCTCCTGCTCCTGCATTTTGTGAGGAACATCTTTGGGGGGGCTTGTGGGAGTTGGGGGGCAGTTGGAGTCTCAGGTTCTGCCTCAGAGATCTCTGCTGCACCCCATTGCCCTGGGGAAGCTCCACTGGGGACCCTGGGCAAGCTGCTTGGCCTCTCAGTGACAGGGACAGGACCACCCCCTCACAGAGAGACTGTAAGGATCATGGTCAATCCAGTGGAGGATCCCTTCATGGAGCTGGTCCTGAGCTCTAATTTGTATGCCCATGGAGCACACTAATCCACCAAACAATGAGCCAGCACCTTTCCTCCATGCTCCTCTGAGCTGTTCCCCAGGAGCCCACCAGGGGGTCCCGGCTCTCTCCTGCCCTCCCTTCCCCCTCAACCCAGAATTGCACATTGTGCCTCTCAGCAGCCTCGGGCTGGTTCCCCCACTGGACTGGTTCCCTTTCCTGGGGTCTTGGTAGGGCTTTGAGACTGATTGTGGGTCTCAGATCTCTGTGCTCTTTTTTAAGACCAGTGAACAAAGCAAGCCCATCAGGATGTCCTAGAATGCCAGCCTCTCTCGCTCTCTCTCTCTCTTCTCAATCATTAACAAGTCAGCCACTTCCTTTGCACTGCTTTGTTCGCCTACCCCTCCACTCCCCTGGCCTGTCCTCCCTCCTCGGAGCCTCTCTGATCCTGGCTGTCCTCACCTCATCAGGAGGCCCTCACTAATTGCCAACCCCACACAGATCCCCTTTCTCCTCTTTACACGCTGTCCTCTGTCCTCCGGTGCTCTCTTTGCTCAACACATCCCAGGTGACCACCCAGACAGAAAGGAGCTCCCCAAACTCCCGATGAATGGATTACGTCAAGCATGACAAAGGGGGCTGAGCACGGATAACTGCGATGATACCCAAAGCTCCCACAACACTTCTGCAGAGCACTTCCCACTTCAATTCATTGGACTGATCTCGAGGCCCCAGAAGGGGGCACAGGCCAGTACCCGTCTCTCTCTTTCCTTTTCCCTCATTTCGAAGGCTCCTCAAACAGCAGTGTTTTGGAGAACTCTGTGCCGTGCCCATGATATCCCATTTCTTGTTTGCTTCTCACCACCTTGAGAGGTAAGTAGTCGGTGTGTCCCCATTTTAAAAATGTGGGAACTGAGGCACAGAAGGGATAAGCAGCTTACCCAAGATCACTCAGGTAGACAATGACAGCCAACTTCCTTCCAACTGAGCCTTCTGCCTTCAAAGTCTGCCCCACACCCAGCCCCCAGCTGCAAGACACAGCACCACCCGGCACAGGTACACCTGGGCGAGCCCTCCTGGGAGGAGACCCAGAGGGGCAGGAGTATGCTTACCTCTTGGGGGACTAAACAAAGGCAGACAGGAGCGGGCAAAACCCGACGGAATTAAGTGCCATGTGCCCAGCCTGACAGAATTAAGTGCCATGTGCCCAGCTGGCCAGTTCGGCACAGTGAGGTCAGGTAAGCAGATGTCCAAACCGGCCAGAGGAGGGAGAGTGGCCCGATCTTGGTTCTATAGGATGGGCAGGGGAGGATGGGAATGGTGAGGAGGGGCAGGCCTCTGCCTAGAGCACAAAGGGACCACTCTGGGCATGGCAGAGGGCAGAACTGACAGGACCCTGCTGTGTGCCAGGCAGTGTGCTGAACAACATTTGGCATAAAACTGTCTCAGGAGACTCAGCATAAAGGGAGAAGGTTAGGGAGGGTGAGCAATCCAGTTGGCTGAGCTGGATGTGCAGGGGAGCAGGGAAAGGAGTTTAGACTAGTGGGGGTACCTAAAGAAGAAGCGGTTCACTGTTTAAGCCTTTGTCTGAACCTCCATCCCAGTGGGTCAAGCCAACAGGGAAGGCCAGGGCTGTGGCTAGCCCTGATTAGATGTCAGAGAACCTAGGCCAGGCTGGGACCCACCCAGGGTTTCTTCTTGAACCTTAAGGCTGGGCAGGGCCAGGACTGGCCATCCCATCACCTGGCTGTCCCACTGAGATGAGCCCCAGGCTGGCTAAGGAGGGCCAGGGCCTGTGTGATGGCCTGGCATCCCAGAGCCAGGTGAGATGAGATGGGAGACAGGTCTGCTGAGGGACCAGCTATCAGAGCAGTGGCTCTCGACCAGGGGTGATGCCCCCACCTTCCCAGGGCATTTCACAATGTCTGGAGACATCTTTATGGGAGGTGCCATTAAAATCTAGCTAGGGATGCTGCTAAACATCCTACAGTACATAGGACAATGCCCCCCCACACACACACACACACAAAGAATTATGTAACTAAAAATGGCAACAGTACCAAGGTTGAGACACCTCGGTGTAGAGTAAGGCGGGTAAGGGCTGAAATCCAAGCTGCTCCCGCTCTCCAAGAGGCTCCTTTCCTAACTCAGCCAGGTGCCGTGTGGGGACTAAATGATGTGGGGGTGGTAGGGAGCCACTGTAGTATATAGAAAAGAGAATGTGTCTGCTGTCACCTCGGCTGTGATTTGTGCAAAAAGCAATTTCAAAGAGATATTTAGTCTTTAATAGGGGGTCAAAAAGTCAACCCACAAGATGATGTCATCTCCCGTTGGCAAAGACAGGGTTGAAAGCGCTGTGACATGCACTCCAGGCAGGAAATGAGATGTGATCAAAGATCTTCATCGTAAAGGATCTGAAAAAACATAAATGTCCATGGATGGGGGACACGCTGGATAAACAATGGAATATCCTGCAAAAGAATGAGGATACAGTCTATGCACAGATACGGAAACGTCTCCAGAATATATCATGTGAACAAAGCAGAGTTCAGAACACGGGTGTGTTGTGCTGCCATTAGGTGACAAGGGAGGAATAAAATTAACTGTATTAATAATTGCTTACATTTGCATAAAGCAGTGGATCGCAAACTTGTGCATCAGAACCTCCCAGAGGGCCTTTTTAGCCCCTTAGTTCAGACAACATCAACCTTGCTTTTATTTGTGGGAGGGACGTGGAGGGTGCCCCACTTTTCTCTCCCAGAGTTGGGCGGCTGCGCTTTCCCGACCCACCGGCCTGGCCACCGGCGCGGGGCTTTAGACAAAGGCCTATGAAGTGGCCTCTTCCTTTAATTGCTCCAGCAACCCAGAGAGGCTGTTTCCCAGCCCTCAAGGGGCCGCCGGAGGTGAGAAGTCCACGGCTTTTGATGGAATCTTGCAGGAACCCAAGAGTTGGGGCCAGTAAAGCAACAACCCCGCCCTGCCTGCCCCATTTCTCCCTTCGCAGAGAAGAGAACCGGTCTAGAGGAAGGTGGCCGCGGGCCAGGCACAAACCTAGCCCTCCAACATCCCTCGTCCCCGCCCCCGCTAAGGAAGGAGGGGCGACGGCTACAATGGATCCTCCTGCGGGCTTTGTGCGCGCTCGGAATCCAGCTGTCACCGCCCCACTTGAGGGCGCACATTTCCGGGCTGCCCACCAGCCGGGTCGCTTCGGCAGCCGCTGCCCCGGCAGAGCCCAGAGCTGTTCCCGCCCGCTCCGTGGCCGCCCGGCCCCAGTCGCCCCCCGAAATGCCCGTCGACTTCACCGGGTACTGGAAGATGCTGGCCAACGAGAATTTCGAGGAGTACCTGCGCGCGCTCGGTAAGCCGCTGCCCCGCGAGCCCGCCGGGCGCCCGCCGGCCCTCGAGGGCTCCTCCCGGAGCCTGCGCAGAGAGGGCGCCGCTGGCTTTGCCCGGGAGGGTGGGGGTTGTTAGGGTTCACTGGTGGTGTCGATCTGGTTGTTGGCTCTAGACATGGATAATTTCATCAGGAAAGCTGGGCTTGGTTTCCTAGTTTTTTGTTTTTAAAGGGTTAGCTTAAGGGCGGAAAACTTTTAAGCTAAAAAAAAAAAAAGGAAAGGAAAGAAAAAGAGAAAGGCACAGACTGGCCGCGCACAGAGAAAGCGAGAGGAAAAACCCCAGCTGTTCTCCCCGCGGAGCGGGCCCCTGGGGCCCCTCTGGCTTAGGAATAGTTCTCTGAGTTCCCTGACCAATTCTTTGCCCTCTCTGTCCCGGACCCCTGCAGATGTCAATGTGGCCTTGCGCAAAATCGCCAACTTGCTGAAGCCAGACAAAGAGATCGTGCAGGACGGCGACCATATGATCATCCGCACGCTGAGCACTTTCAGGAACTACATCATGGACTTCCAGGTTGGGAAGGAGTTTGAGGAGGATCTGACCGGCATAGATGACCGCAAGTGCATGGTGAGGATTTATATATCCCCAGATGTCTCCTACCCAGGGCGCCTAACTAAATGCTAGGCTAATTCATTTGAAAGGGGAGCACGGGCCCTTGTGTTCTTAGTGACCAGGAATCGTGGCCTGGTCCCCCAAGGTAGGCAGCACCCACTTATCCAGCATCCTCCTCTGTCCAAACCAGATGGTTATAGTTATAAAAACTTAGGCTTGTTTAGTTTCTGCTATGTCCCGGATGCTGAGTCATGTGCTTTATTCACTTGACTCCGCCTAATCCTCCCAACAGCCTTTGAGGGAGGTATGAGTACACCCATTTAACAGATGAGAAAACAGTCTCAAAGAGATGAAGTGATCTGCCTGGAGCAGCCCAACCAGGGAGGGCCCGGGCTGGAATTCCAGGCATGTCTGCTGACTCCTCTCTGGCTGCGCTCTGGGCTGGTGGAGAAAGGAGTGAGAGCGGGAAGGGAGGAAATAAAGAAGAAACACTCGGAGCCCTCTTGCAGTGTAAACTTCCTATAAGACCTAGCATGAAGCCACTCTAGGAAGCAGGAAGCACGGTGATCCCTGCCAGAAGCCTTCTGACCTGCCCCATCCTGTGCCAAAGCTGGGAGTTGGCTCTGGATCATCCCCCTTCCCACCTCTCTTCCACTGTGCCCTGCTGAGCTTCCTTGAAGCTGGCAGCCAACTCCTCCAGGGAAGGTCAGCTGCTCTGCAGGTCAGGCCAGAGGATGTAGCAATGGGGAGGGGAAGGAGAGGGAGACCTCACCCTCAAGGATGGGAAGCTGGTGACCGGGAGACCCCAATTAGTGCTGCCACAGCAAACTCTGGAAGGTCAGCCCGAGGCCTCCATCAACATTCTCAGGTCACTGGGAGGTCAGGGTGCTCCCAGTCTCCTTTTCACGGTCTTCCGCCCAGAGCTAGTTTATGCTCATTGATGAGGCCCTCCCCCATCCTTCCATTATTTCCTGGGGTCTGCTATATGCCCTGCCCTGTGCACAGCGCAGTGAGGGAGAGATTAGTCACCCCCATATTATGCAATAACAGGCTCCACAGGAGAAGAGACTTGTAAGAGATGGGATTTGAACTCTAGGTCTTTGGACTTTGAAGCCCTTGCTCCTGCTCTCTGCCAGGTTCCTCTCTGCTGGTAGCTTTTGCAGAAACCAGATGGCTGAGGTTTGTTAGGACTGCGGTTAAGGAGTGCTGGTGTCTGGGAATAAAAAGCCCCAGGCCTGGAGGACTCATCCTCTTCTGTTGATTCATCTGAAGGCGGTCAGGAGTGAGTGTGAGCCTGCTCTTTGGAATGATGGCGGAAGAAGAGGTGGCCAGCAGGGAGTGTCCTTGGAGAGGCCACTAGTGGGAGAAAACACTATTGTTGTAGGGAAATGTCAGGCTGTGCCTTTAAAAGATCCAAAACCTCTTAATCTGCCCAGAGGCTCACTGTGGGAAAGGTCGGCCTTGGTGAGGTGGGGGCCCTGCCTTTCAGACTACTGCCCAAGATCTGCCACCTGGCCCGCTGCGTGGAATAGCACTGTAAGAACAGTCATGCCCAGCTCACTCTTGGGGTACTCACAGAACACAAAAACAATCTCTGTTTTGGGTCACCCACAGCCTCTAGAATCTGTTGGTTTGTACTTGGCTAATTATCCCCGCTCTTTTATTCTCTCCATTAATGCATAAAATGTTTATTGATCACCTAGAAATACTAGCTAATACTTATCAAGTGCTTACTACGTACCAGGTACTGTTCACATTTAATTTTAATTCAGTCTTCACAACATTTGACAGATAAGAAAACTGAGGCGGAACTTTTCATTGTGTGGTCTTGGGGAAGCAAAGTAAATGGCAGAGAGAGGATTTGAATTTGGTGCGTCAGCGCCAGGGTCAGGGACACAGCCCAGCATGGCACAATCCCTGATGTCTAGGAACTCACAGTCTTTGTGGTGGAGACACACAAACAGTCCAAACACAGGAGAGCAGTGGTGACAAAGGGACACACCTGGAGGGGAGATCCCAGAAGGAGTTCTGGAGACAGGGGGTTGGAAGGGAAGGTTTTGGACACAAAGGGACAGACACGTGGCCACCTTTTCTTAACCCAGCAATGGGACAGTGGTAGGTGAGCAGATCAGGGAGCCCAGCAGCTGGGCAAACTAGATGAAATTGGGCAGGACTCACAGTCACCTTTGCTGCCCCAGGACTCACTAGATGGCCACTCACTTTGCTGTTGCCCACTGGGGAAGGGACAGCCCCTCTGCTCGGGCCTGCTCCTGGCCCCCGCCTTGCCTTTCCCTCCGGGCTGCCCAGCGGGATGAGCATGACTGCGGAAGGGTTAAGGTAACAGAATTATAGCAACTGTCCAGCCTGAGGCTTATGATTGAAGGGGAGCTGCATGCCAAGATACCATGCTGACTGATGTCCCTGGGCCCTCAGGGGTCCTGCACAAGGTGGCAGCCCCTTCTGCCCCACACGCTCTGCACCAGCTCTGCGCCCTCCAGAAGCAGCAGCTGGGAGGAAACCAGTTTGTTCTCAGCATCAGGTTGCTTTATTCTAACGTCTTCTTCCTAGCACATGTGTCATTTCTCACCTGGGATCATGCATTCATGGTTTGTGCATTCCTCTCTTGGCCCTACAAGCATTTCAAGGTACTGGCTCTGTCTTTGCAGTCATGGGAGTCTTGACCTCACAGAGCTGAGGGGGTGGGGAGACAGACCACAGCAGCCAATCACACTGTGATAATGTGCCACGGAGGAAGGCAGGCAGAGAAGGACCTCCTCCTGGTGCTGGGAGGTCAGGGGAAGTTCCCACCGGAAGTGGAGTCTGAGCTGTGGCTTGGAGGATAGACAGGAAGTAGCCAGGCAAGCAGGACGAGAGGAAGGCCAAGGCCCAGAGAGCAGCACTTGGTAAATGCTATTTGGAACCTGTCCCACACCAGGCCCTGAGCTCAGTGTGGGGGCACGAGGCAGCATGGCCTCCTGGAGCACCGGCCAGTGGAGGAGACCGACCCGTCTTCAGGCCATTGCAGCCCAGTCTCGTGATGGAAGCACAGTGGCCTGAGGAACATAGGCCTGGGGGTTTGGGGGAGCAGTGGTCATGGAAGGTTCCCCAGGGGAGGTCACAGCTGAATGGGTCCTTGAAGGACAGGTAAGAATTAAGGCAAACGTGGAGAAGGGATAAAAGTCTTCCAGGCAGAAGGAACCGTGTGCAGAAAGGCCCAGAGGTCAGAAAAGGCCTGGTCGGGAGGAGGTCTCAGGAGGTGAGAAGCACAGTCTGGCACCAGTGCGGCCGGAGCGCACAGTGTGGCCAGAGGAGAGGAGAGTGATGAGGACCTGTGGGGAGCCTGGATGTGGCCCCAGCAGCCGCAGGGTGCCCTTGCTGGGAGAGGCGCGGTCGGCTGACATTCCTTCCCAGGATCCCTGGTGCGGAGATCTCTGACCCTGCCTCTCTCCCATGGAAACACAGATAAGGTTCCTAGCCAGAGGCTGAAATCCGGCCTGCAGATGTGTTTGGCCTGTGCAACGTTTGAAACATTTTAGAGCCAGTTGCCAGTGATTGCCAAAGATTATAAGATATCATAGAAAAAAAATCCGTATTTCTGACTATTCTTACCAAAAACATCAAGATGCGTAAAAACACTGGGTGCCTAGTTAATTCTGTGCCACATGGCTCCCTTGGATACTGTCAAGTTACCCCTTAGGTGGGACATTCCCCAGTTTACCAGTCTGCTCACCCCACCTTGTCACCTGAGTCAGGACGAGCTGTGGGTCCCTGAGCAGTGGTTCCCTAGGCGGAAGCCAGCAGCAGCATCACAAGAATGTGAGACATGGGTTCCCCAGCTACACCCCTGGCCTGCTGAATCAGAAACTCTAGTCCTGGGAGCAGCAATCTGGGTTCCACTGCGCCCACCAGGTGGTTAAAGTCGTAAAGAAACTCCTCTGGGCCTGCGTCTCCCTAAAACCAGAGACCCATGTGCCACTGGCTGGTTTTGTCCATCGTCTGACCCCTGTAGACATTGCAGTCCAAGCCCAGAACCACCTGAAATGGCTCTGCGGTCTCCCCAGGCCGAGGCGTGGAGGGGGCAGATCTGTGCAGCCCAGAGTCACTCAGCTCACATTTTCAGTCTGTTCTGTTCTGCTTTTACATGGCCCACAAGCAGCTGAGGCCATCCTTTTGGTGGAAATGTATAGACCAGACGGGTCTTTCTCCGCTGCCTCCTGCAGCCTTGATCCATTCAGATGAAGCCTCCAGCCAGCTGGAAACCTTTATCATGTATGGAATCCAGCAGTTGTAGACTTTGGCCCGGTGGGGGGCCTTGAAACAGGAAGGTGCTCCTCAACTTCATATAGTGCCCCCCACTCCGGGGCCAGGGAGCCCCTCGGAATGAGGAACGACCGGGTTCTTTGTTCCCAAGGCCCGCAGCACGAGCAGCCTTCCTGGGGGAGCACTGAGCCTCGGCCCGGAGTCACAGCCGGTCTGGTCTGCATGGTGGTGCAGGAGGGCCGTTTGTCATCCCACCACGGACACCGGTCGGGTTTCCCTGGAGGGGGTGGCTTTGTTCATGCAGGAGCCCGGCGCCTCTTCCCCTGGCTGAGGCCTCACCTTCAGATTCAGCTCTGAACTCAGGATGACCCCTCTGTAGAGTCTGCCTTCCACTTCCAGCCCCCCGCCCCTCTGTGGGTTCTTTGTTTTTATTGTAAAAGGAAAAAATATTCAAATAGCACAGGAGAGAGTCAATCGACTGAAAGGGAAAGAACCCCTTTCTTCTCTTGGCCTGATTCCCACTCCCCAGAGGTTATCCCTGTTACTGTGTCTAGGGATGGGCTGGGAATCTTCCCCATCTATTGATGAGTTAATTGGTCAGTATCTCTAAAGTCAAAAAGGAAGGCAGGAAGGAGGGGAGAGGGGGAAAGACCCACTTCTCTGCATATTGTTTTTTTCACTTAATAATACTTCTCTCTATATCAGCACTTAAAGATTTTCTGAATTCTGTCCCTTTTAACCTGATTCCCTTCCCT